CCATTAATGGATTATCATATGACATCTGAATGATACGATTTAGATGGCTAGAAAATAAATTATGGTACATCGAAAATCTAGTATTTTCCGTTTTGGATCATTTTGAGACGCCATTTTCTCGAAAACGAAAACTATGATTTTTCTTAAACTTTTTTTACTCAGAGTCCTATCGGTGGACTATGGCGTGAGTCCAAAAATAAAAGCATTGAAATAATATAAGTGGTCCAAAAAGAGCCTCAATCTTGGAAAAATGTTGAAAAATCCTTAAATTACTGAAAATGCTCTTCTATTTTTCTTTCTTTGGAGAACAGCTGAATGGATCTTGTACAGAAGGTTAGGTAACCAAACTACTTGTTAAAACTATCCCGACAATGATCCAAAAACCGGAAGTAGTCGAAAAAATATCCGATATTTTGAGAAAAAAACCCCATAAAAAGTGAAAAAAATGGTGATCTTGCGAGAAAAGTGATTACTACGTAAGATTTCACCGAATCAAAACAACTAAAGTGTCATTGGAGAGCCCGAATAATGGACAATCGTATGACATCTAAATGGTAAAAATGCGCTGGTTAGGCAATATATAATGAAACGCTGAAAATCTATTATTTTCCTTTTTGGACCCTATTCAGACGCTTTTATCTCGAAAACTTCTCTTATTTCCTTTCTTATACTTCTGTCTATGGTGTGATTCCAAATAAAAAAGCCTCAATATTGTATAAATGGTCCAAAAGGGCCACAGTCTTTGAAAAAGTCGAAAAATCGTTATATCTGTAAATCTGCTTCTAATGTTATAAGGGAAGTAAAACTGTCCAATGGATCTTTCTGAAACTTCTGGTACAGGAAGTTAAGTTCCCATACCACTTGTTAAATCTATCCCGATAATGATCCGTAAACAGGAAGTAGTCAAAAAATTATTCGATATTTTTTTTTTAAAAAACAAGACAGTAAAACATCGGTGCTCTTGCAACAATCGGGATTTCACCGTCGGGTGTGACTGGATCAAAACATCTAAAGTATCGTTTGGTAGCTCGATAAATGGGATATTGTATGAAACACTTCCTGCCTGATTCCTGAAAGCCGGTTCAGTGCTGCTTGCAGGTCAAAAGTCTGAAAGCCTATTGAGATTACTAAAATTATTATTAAGCTTTCATATTACATATGAAAGCTTATTGTTTCTGTTAAGATTATTATTGTTATTTTTTTGTGTGTTTTGTCCACAAATCGGATTTCTCAGAATCTAACCATAGGATCGTTCTGAAACTTTTACCTATCCCCCCAAAAATGGGTGGTGGCTGTTGATTAAATATATTTTCAAAACGTTTTACGAATCCGAAATCACCGAATTTTACGAAGGAATGCATTTGACCTACAATGCTGTAACTTTGTGACTATTTGACCTATTTTACTAATTCTTTTTTCTTTGAGTATCTTGAAACATTTACTTCAAATCTGCAATTTCGGATTTTGGCATTTCGAAAATTCGTCGCTGTCATTTCGAACCGGAAGTTATTACCAATTTGACAACTTCTTTAATAGTTGTGCGATTTTCGTGAAATTTAGAATGTTAGTAGATCTTGCCAATGCGACTTCAATGATGTCCTTGGAAATTTTCTAAATTATCTCCCCTTGGTGAAATTAAGGATCAAAGTTTTCAAAAAAATCGTCGAAATATAGGTCAGAATGACCTAAAAAAAAAATTCGATACTAGACAAGTAATTACTGATTCGTACACAAAATATGGAGTTTGTCGATCGAACCGGAAGTGCCACCATCTTTAAACGTGAAAAATCAAAAAGGCTTTTTTGCTATTTTACTTACAGACTCGGGCGTCATATTTTCGGAATCCTGGAAGGAATGCCTAAAAATCTATCGGATCAGAATTTTGATTTCGGTCACGTGATGGTCACCATTTTGAATTGAAAATGAAAAATAGAAGCAATTTGAAGGGCCGGGATTTTGGAACACAAGAACTCTCCTTCTAATTAAGCTAGAATGTTCAAACTTGGTGTAGGCGTTCACTAGGTCAATGTCATGATTGAGTTCAAAGATGAGCATTTTTTGCCTAGGGTAATCAGAGATAAGCAAGCTGATTTGTTGATTCTTTAGGGCACGATGACATTGGTTATAATGAATGGAGGGCGATGAAACTCTTGTCAATCGAGAGGCTAATAGCTGGCCTGTTGTGTGAAATCATTGTATCATTTTTTGAAAATGTCCGGGGTAGCCGAAAAAAGGAGATCGAAATCCAAAAAGTCGTATTTTTACGATTTGGGGCATTTTTAGAGGTCGTGTAAAGTAAAATAAAGCATGCATATACATATATTATTGATATTAAATATATCATATAAAAAACTAAACAATGAATCAGCTGTCATTGACAGATTTTATATTATAAGCATGGTCAGTGGAAGGTCAGCGTATTGTCTAACTTGAACTCACTGACTCCGTAACATTATTGTGGGTATGGTATAAGCTGAATTTGATGAGATGCACATATCTCGTATGACTATTTGGTACTTACAGTGTTAGACGGCGCTATTGCACTTTCGTACCTCTACCAGTTCCCGTGGTCGTAGGCACTTGAAATTTTCAGAGGATGTTAAGGGGGGCTAGCAATGACCACACACCAAATTTCAGCCGAATCGATAAATAACTTTTTATTTTACCGACCTTTTAATTTCTAACGAGAGAGAACTTCATCCGTTTGACGCCATTTGCTTTGTTTACTAATTAGACTTGAATAACAAGACACTAAGACGGAAACCGACTCGAATAACAAGACACTTAGACGGAAACCGACACACTGCACCAGCTGCCTAACACTGCAGTTCATAAAAATTAATATAATTTTCGTATACTTTAATTTTTGCGCGAAGCCACCATTTTCTATAAAATACTATTTGGTGTTGATCAGTGGATTGGCCGTTAGGTGTAAATATTGCCGTGACCTTGATTTTGACCTTGAGGCCAAACTTCCCACCCATATCGGGGCCTTTGCGTTTATGCTTGCCGTGGCCTTATTTCTTACTGTATTATCAAAGTTAATGTTCGAGGTGAAAGCAGAGATGACGTCCTTCAGAAAAGATAATTGGGTCAAAGTCGTAGGTCAAGGTCATGTTACAGAAAACTAAACTCAAACTTTTCAAAGTCATTTTTGGGACATTTGACCTTGACTTACGACCTTGACCCCGTAACCATTTTTGAAGGCTATCACATTGGCTTGAAACATGAACGTTTACCTTGGTCCTGTCGCACACTGCTCGGTCAGAAAACGGTCAAACGCAGAGGGTCCGTGTCCGAAAGGAAGTCAATGGGCGTGGTCAATGTGAAAGGTCGTGGTGACCTCCACTAGTCACCGTTAACCATCCGTAACCTTGACTCTGACCTTGAGTCCAAACGTCCCATCCATCTCGGGCCCTTTGCGTTTATGCTTGCCGTGGCCTTATTTCTAACTGTATTATCAAAGTTAATGTTCGAGATTAAAGCAGAGACGACGTCCTCCAGAAAAGATAATTGGTTCAAAGTCGTAGGTCAAGGTCATCTTACAGAAAACTAAACTCGGACTTTTCAAAGTCAGTTTTGGGACATTTGACCTTGAGTCCAAACGTCCCATCCATCTCGGGCCCTTTGCGTTTATGCTTGCCGTGGCCTTATTTCTAACTGTATTATCAAAGTTAATGTTCGAGATTAAAGCAGAGACGACGTCCTCCAGAAAAGATAATTGGTTCAAAGTCGTAGGTCAAGGTCATCTTACAGAAAACTAAACTCGGACTTTTCAAAGTCAGTTTTGGGACATTTGACCTTGACTTACGACCTTGACCTCGTAACCATTTTCGAAGGCTATCACCTTGGCTTGAACCATCGACGTTTACTTTGGTCCTGTCGCACACTGTTCGGTCAGAAAAGGGTCAAACGCAAAGGGCCCGTGTCCGAAATGAAGTCAATGGGCGTGGTCAATGTGAAAGGTCGCGGTGACCTCCACTAGTCACCTTTAACCAACCGTGACCTTGACTTTGACCTTGAGTCCAAACTTCCCATCCATCTCCGGCCCTTTTCGTTTATGCTTGCCGTGACCCTATTGCTTACTGTATTATCAAAGTTAATGCTTGAGGTGAAAGCAGAGACAACGTCCTTCAGAAAAGTTAAAAAGGTCAAAGTCGTAGGTCAAGGTCATGTTACAGAAAACTAAACTCAAACTTTTCAAAGTCAGTTTTGGGACATTTCCCCTTGACTTACGACCTTGACCCCGTAACCATTTTCGAAGGATATCAACTTGGCTTGAATCATGGGTATTTACCTTGGTCCTGTCGCACACTGCTCGGTCAGAAAACGGTCAAACGCAGAGGGGCCCGTGCCCGAAAGGAAGTCAATGGGCGTGGTCAATGTGAAAGTTCGTGGTGACCTCCACTAGTCACCTTTAACCATCCGTGACCTCGACTTCGACCTTGAGTCCAAACTTCCCATCCATCTCGGGCCCTTTTCGTTTATGCTTGCCGTGACCATATTTCTTACTGTATTATCAAAGTTAATGCTTGAGGTGAAAGCAGAGACAACGTCCTTCAGAAAAGATAATTGGGCCAAAGTCGTAGGTCAAGGTCATGTTACAGAAAACTGAACTCAAACTTTTCAAAGGTCACGGATGGTTAACGGTGACTAGTGGAGGTCACCACGACCTTTCACATTGACCACGCCCATTGACTTCCTTTCCGACACGGGCCCCTCTCCGTTTGACCCTTTTCTGACCGAGCAGTGTGTGACAGAACCAAGGTAAACGTCCATGATTCAAGCCAAGGTGATAGCCTTCGAAAATGGTTACGGGGTCAAGGTTGTAAGTCAAGGTCAAATGTCCCAAAAATGACTTTGAAAAGTTTGAGTTTAGTTTTCTGTAACATGACCTTGACCTACGACTTTGACCCAATTATCTTTTCTGAAGGACGTCGTCTCTGCTTTCACCTCGAACATTAACTTTAAAAATACAGTAAGAAATAAGGCCACGGCAATCATAAACGCAAAGGCCCTGATATGGATGGGAAGTTAAGACTCAAGGTCAAAATCAAGGTCACGGCAATATTCACACCTAAAGGCCAATCCACTGATCAACACCAAATAGTATTTTATAGAACATGGTGGCTTCGCGCAAAAATTAAAGTATACGAAAATTATATTAATTTTTATGAACTGCAGAGATAGGCAGCTAGTGCAGTGTGTCGGTTTCCGTCTTAGTGTCTTGTTATTCGAGTCTAAATAGTAAACAAAGCAAATGGCGTCAAACAGATGAAGTTCTCTCTCGTTAGAAATTAAAAGGTCGGTAAAATAAAAAGTTATTGATCGATTCGGCTGAAATTTGGTGTGTGGTCATTGCTAGTCCCCCTTAACATCCTCTAATAATTTCAAGTTCCTACGACCACGGGAACTGGTAGAGGTACGAAAGTGCAATAGCGCCGTGTTAGACTTTGTCGTAACGTTACGGTCTCCATTCATCAAATCGTCGTTGGGGCTATAATACGATTTTGAATCAAGTTATTTATCACTGAGGACTCAAAATTAGGTTTGATGTAGCTCTGCTCATTTACAGTGGCGAATTTAACGGGCTCATGGGTTCCAGCTCCCTCATCTAGAAATTTCACAGCACCCGCATGGATTGTGGCTAATTTTGTGGCAGAATTATATTTTTCTGGGGGAGGTACTTCTAAATGGCTCCGACACAAGTGCCTTAAATGCCATGAAATCACGTTTTCGGCCTCCAATTAAAATTTCTTAGCGGGAGAACCCCCTGACCCGACCCCCTTGCGGGGCTTCACGGTCGGTATCAGCCCCCCTCCCCACCACCATGGTTAATCCGGCGTTGATGTTCCCTCTTGTGCAGCTGCAAAAGAATGTACAAGTTCATTGCCTCATTGTCAAAGATCCCACTTTTCTACCCCAGTTCGGGTAATGAGGTCGAGCGTATATTGTATAGGGGATATTAAACAAGCAAACAGTATGGCTGATGTCTCCCGCCAAAACCCCAAAGTAAAAGATGACACATTAATTAATCGCACTTTCATATTTTTTTCAAAAGTATCGAGCAATCAAACTATACTGTAAATTTCATCACTCTCTGTCAGATAGAAATCAAGGTTATCTTGTCCCAAAGCATCGACCAATGAAATTGCCAAGCTGTAGCTCAAAATGTTCAGTCAAGACCTGATGGACATCTACACCAAGTTTAAACATTCTAGCTCAATTAAAAGCTGGGTTGTTATGTTCCAGTACTTCATTATAACCAAAGTTATCATACCCCAAAGCATCAACCAATTCAAAGTCCCGGCCAATCAAGTTGCTTTGCTTATCCTGACTAAGAGAATGCTCATTGTCGAACTTGGTCAAGGTAATATGGTCAAGGTACTAATGTAATGAAACTATACACAAAGTTTCATCAAATTGCTTATCTCTGCTTACCCATTTTAATAGTCCCCTGCCAATCGAAAAGCCCCCCGACCCACCCACTCCACTCCCGTGTAATACATTAGGTTATAATTGTGTTACAAACGTATCACAAGGAGCATTTGAATATTCTCTCTGAGGCATCTGATACCACTTGTCATTGAGGTGTTCACACAGCCAACTCATTTTTGTTTGTTTGTGTTATCTTTATTCAGTATAAATCAACTAATACAAATGAAAAAAAGTACTTGGTTTAATGAGATTATCTTTTGAGAGTTGGTCATACAGGTATCACTAATCATAATTGCTCTTAACTTCAAATATATACACGATTATGTGTATTCTAAATATCAAATAAAACAATGATGATTTCTTTACAATAGCAGTACAACAAATTTATTCGCAATATTTTCCTTTGATCAGTTGATCAAAAACCTGATTATATTTACAATATATTCTAGGTCTTTGCTCTTTATTCCATTGGTTCAAAATATGATAAAAGAGGCTTATCAAAAAGTTTATATCATGTAGTCTTATATAACAAATAGAACAATGACATACAAGATGTTTCAAATCATAATCTATTTGCATTATTTATTTCAATAATTTGACCTGTGATATTCATGTATAAAGCAAAATAGTAAACATTGAATTTCATTCACTTTTATGTATAATATAGTATTAAACCGGTTAATTATTGTATACAACATTTATTTAATTTCATAGCAACATTTTATGCCCAGTCCGTGCATAGCATTATGATGTGAAATCCCATTTCATTTCAATTATAATAGTCTTCATCTAGAAACAATATTACTATTTATATTGGTATGTTACTACCAAGATATAACAATAAAATTAGCAAAAGTATGTATAAATTAATAAAGTTCTCTTTAGTATCTTTCATGAATAGTCAATTGTTCAATACCATTATTTCTCTTCACTTTATGCAAATAAATTGAAATGGGATTTAATGATCAACTATTTTACTTCAGAACTTACATAAATCATTTGGTGATAAAGAAACATACATTTCTAGTATTTTTCTAACATAGTGTACTATACTATGCATCATTATATAGAAGACATATGAATGAATAAACAAAAATATGGCAAAATGAACAACATGAGAATGATTGTAGAAGTATAAGAACAAAGCAATTGTTTAATATTAAAAATATTTGATTTTCTTCTATTTTAAAGTTACATCCTTTACATTTGTATTTATACATTGTATGCAAAACATAATTAGAGAGAAATGGGTTTAACGTCCACTCAACACAAACAAGGTCATTTCGGGACTAACATATGGTTTAATTTTATTTCAATAATTTGCTTGCGCGTAGGGGTCTTTAGCAGTGGGGGGAAACCAGAGTACCCGGAGAAAATCAGGAGTATGGACAGGTGACCCTACTCCTTGCCACGTACAACCAGGGATTCGAGACCACGCCAGTTGACTTAATGGCAGGCCGTATGATACAGCATGCACACACTAACCATTCTGCCATCCAACCCAATACAGCAAGGATGAACAAATATTAGCATGTTTTAATGTTCATTATTAAAATAGAATACAAACAATGTAAGAATAATTATAATATCATGTATCAAACCAAAACAAATAATTCAATTTCAATAACTATTGAGAGCTGGCTGAAAAATTCTAAACCCATCTGTGAAAGAACTGTATAGAATTGTATAAAGTCCATTGTTTCCATTTATTTTTCTATGTAGTCACTTTTGAAGTGTACACTCTCACTCTTTAGTTAATGATGTTGCATGGCCTTGATGTCTGCCAGGAAGAAATTATCTTCAGTTACCCTTAAAAAATTGATCACAGCTGACATGACGTAATCATAGAGGGAAAATGATATCATCCATTTATGAACAGAAGTATTGTTTGAATAGAACACCTTTATAATACTTCTATTGATAGTCTGGCTGTTTTTAAGGTAGTCAATCAGCAGAATAGTTTAGGAATCATAAACGAGTGAACCCATCACCTGTCCAGTCGAAAGAACTGACCTGGCTTGATTGGGGACTTGCGAGTCTGGATGCTTCCATTGTTTTTATTGAATTTTGCATTCTGGTTGCAACTGATGAATCCAGGTCTCCTCTATGTTTAAAAATCTGGCTAAAATTTTTTTAGGAAATATTGAAAACAGCAAAGATTGTCACTGGATGTCACTGGATCAAGTACCTCCTGCAACCACTTCTTTAGTGCAGAAAAGGAAGGGCCATTGTCTCCTATAGTGGAGACCGTATCCACATATTTCAATGTTTGGGTTAGGACTTTCAGTTGCAGATACTTGATGACTGCCATATAGATAGTTCTGTCCATTTTTGGTGATTTCAATGGGTAGGTTCACAAGATTGTCTGGTACAAATACAATAATAACACTTCAGCTGCAGGTCTTATGTCTATGATTCATTCAATGATTCTACTTGTGGTGGTAAAAGCCAATTAAATCTCTCCTCTTCAGATCTAGAACTTTTCAGCCAGCTGTTGTATTATAGTGTATCCACACAAAGAAAAATTAACACAGAGAAAAATCATTATTACATAATAAATATATAAAATGACAATAAATGATGTGGTATTCATATTTCAATCAGAAGACGGAGAAAAATGGGGTTTAAGTCCACTCGACAGAAACTAGGTATTTTGGCATTAACACATGGTCCAATTTTATTTCAATAATTTGCTTGTGCGTATGGGTCATTAGCAATGGAAGGAAACTGGAGTTCGCAGAGAAAACCCTCGAAGGATGAACGTGCTACCCTACTCCTTGCCACGTACAACTGGGGATTTGAAACCACACCAGTTCACTAAATGGCAGACCTTATGATACAGCGCGCACATACTAACCATTCACCCCCCCCCCCTTATTTCAAACAACAAAATTAAATGTATTGATACAAATATATATCTATGGATACAAATATATCTGTACAAATGTATATAGATAGAATAATCGTATAGATAAAGAAAAATTAAAATCCCCGGCTACAATCCAACCAGGGAATAGCGGGAGTGTAGACGATCTGGGACCTAGCTCTCCAAACAAATTACGCTCCTGAAGCAAAAAGAAAGAGTAAATCGGTGCTGCCTGTTGTGTGTATTATATGTAAAAAACGTGACAGATTTGTCACTGTTGGAGAAAATAGGAAGAAGGGTGTATTAACACAGACTCAGACCCAAACAGGCTCAGGTAGGCCTAATGTTAATATTATGTTACTTACTAAATTTATAATTATTACTAATAAATATTAAATATATTCATCCTACAGTTTTTAATTATTGTGTTGTTGTTTTTGTTGTAAATGGAATCAGAAGTGCTACTGCAATCACTGTAAAATTGTTATGAAGCTAGCCAGTAAAGCCCTTTACCCCATTTGTTGATTTGGCACAGTCATTGGTTGAAGTGTTGCACATTTGCTTGCACAAGGGATGAAACATAGAGAAGTTAACTTGTTTTTTATTTTCTTGGCCCACTTGTAGGTGCCTTGCTAAGACGATCTGTCTCTAGACCATTTCCGCTCACACAAAGGATCTGAACTAAACCGCATGCCAGAGTTGACCAGCCAGGTACATGTACATGTAGGCCTCAAAGTGACATTCCCTCCCCCACCCTTGAGCACAAACAACATTCAACGCTATATGGTGTATAATTTGTTTGCAAATTTGTTTGTAGGCCAACTGTTGAAAGCTGCTGAATTGAAAGAGGATGAAGATATTTTAAGGCATATCAGAGGGCAAGATTGTGTGGCCATTGAGGTCAGATATCACCAAAAATGTTATAGGCAATATACATGTACTGAATTTCTTAGACAGTTATCAGAAAGGTAAATATTTGTGATGTTTTTTTTATTTGTAT